ATACACAAACTTTTATCTTGAACTGATGTATAAAGATAGAAAGCAATTAATTATTTCAGCTTCTTCCTGTAGAGCAGAATTATGTTTGGGCGTCTTAACAGTGTGTTTACTTTGTCTTCACTGTGGACTGTTGAAGATGGGGAAATACAATTGCATGTTAGTCATTCGGCTGCAGGTTGAATTGCCCTGCTAGTTTTTCTAACTTGGATATGAGCATTCATCTAACATAACTAAGTGCTTATTTAAGCACTGTGTTACGCACTAACACAGTTAAGTGTTTTGGTTCTTGCTCTCATAGCATTCAACCGGCGTTTAATGTTGCTTCCACTTAATGTTGACTTTCTTTCAGTCAATGGGGAAAATTAAAGGATTTTCATGTTTTTACGTTTGACTTGATTACAATTCACAGCTCACTTCTAGTGTTTAAGTCTTGGTCTGATGTTATGCTGAGGTAGATTGAGGTCTGAAGATGAAAGAAACATCTGTTATGTCTTACTGTCTTCGGCTTCTTTACAGTGCTGCCTTGTTGCATATGGATCAAGCAGCATTGTACAGGGCTATGAAGGCATTGAGTCTCCTCTACTAAATACAAGTGCTTTTCATTTAATTTTTGCTTTTAGGTGGGCTGTTTCTTTGGCTTGATTACTGCAAATGCTCACTTAATTTGAAACACAAATGCTACTTCTCTGTAAACTAGGTCCTCCAGTTCTTGAAGGTTCTATGGTTTTTCCTTTTCCCCAAGTAATGCTGTGTTGTAAAGTTTGGAACTTTAATTGTGGGTTGTTTGGGTTTGGTTTGTTGTTTGGTTTTTTTTTTTCCCTTGCTGGAGACAGCCTGTTCTTTTGTAGCATAATTTTTCAAAGCTGTGTTAAACAGTGAAAAGACTTAATCCTTTGCTGTTATTCTGTTCTTTTTAGAAAATCAACAGAGTTGTGTTTGTTGGCAATTTCTTACGTGTGAATACTTTGTCAATGAAGCTTCTTGCATATGCACTGGATTACTGGTCAAAAGGCCAGCTGAAGGCCTTGTTCCTAGAACATGAGGTATGCTTTGGTTCATTTATCTCTATGTATTGTTTCACCCAAAATGCATGTATTGAGTAGCTCTTGTGTGTGATGTCCTGACATACCAAGTTCTCAGTAAAGACTGGAAGTCAGAGGAGGTTGGTCACGCTGTGCTTGTCCTGTGGGGACAGTGTGCTCTGCCAGGGAAGTGCTTCAGTTGCTTTGTGGTATCTTGGTTCACGCTGTAGATCTTTGGAGAAAGACAAGAAAATGGTGAGGTCTGTGCCAAGGTTCAACAGTCTTTCCTTGCTTTTGGGTGGAAACAATAGTAAGTATTGTATTTCACATTGCGGAGAGATCTGAAGCATGGGCCTTTGAAATATTTCCATTGTTCTAAACTGAGCTTGAGCAACATCCCAGAAGTCAAGACTGCTTTTAACAAGGACTGCTTTCATACCAGCACTGATACACCTTGAAGCTGTTGTAGTCATTTTAGGCTCTGAGACTAACGTGCTTTTGGGCAGGTTAGTCTAGATCTAGTATCCATGTATAATGCTTCTAGATCAGTATGTAATGCTGAGAGACTTGAGCTGTTTTGGTGAAAATATAGACAACCAATATTAATTACAGGTGCAGCAGTTGGGAGACTTATAGCTTCTTGGCAGCGGGCTGGCAGGTTTTGTCCTCAGTTTGACAGTTTGCAAATGTAACACTAGTACATCTATTCCCCTTCAGTGGATTCTCACAACTGTTTTCCTTTCCTGCTTATCCTGAGGCTGACAGTAATCTGTCTTGGCGCTGGTGGCTGCAGTAGTAACAGAATAGTGCCTTGGTGGTTCTACCCCTTCAGATTTGCTTGGATGAATTTTACATTCCTGCATTTGGTCAAGTGTAGATTCCAAACACCCAGGTATTTCATAGTTACAGGGAGGGGAAACATCCTGCATCCCAAGAGAGGGAAGGTAATTCCACAGGAGAACACATTTCTTTTTATGCAGGTAAGCATACAGCCCAAAAAGAGTGCTGCAGTATGGATGTAATACTTTACAAATGAAGTGCAATTAAAGAAACGTTTGACTTGTACCTTAGGAATCGTGTTGCTCCTGGGTATTGAAGATCCTTTGGCAACCAAAATAGGCAGCTTTCCTAGCAAAACCAAACCAAACTTGATTTCCGTGCTTTAGGAGTCACTCATACATGTCTTAGAAGTCCTGCAGTGTATGGGGAGGCTTGGGGTAAAATCTTCTGAAGTTAAGCTAGAAAGGAGGGATAAAATGTGCCACAAAGCTCTACAGAATTGTTACGAAAGATACTAAAAGTGTGTGGTGGGCTTCCTATAGCATTGGTCCATTGGCTGCTCTGTTGTCACTGAAATGTGATTAGTGCAGAATTTAATACCCCTCTTGAGCCTGAAACCTTCTTCTGTTTGTTTTGAACAGGGGTACTTCGGAGCTGTGGGTGCTCTTCTTGGGCTGCCAAATTTCAGTTGAGATACCAGATGTCACTACACTGAACTGTTTTCCACCTGAATGACACGTGTTTACAGCAATGGGAACTAGATCTGGGGAGGGGGCAATTAAATAGCAGATTTTCTGTAACTGTTCTTACGAAGTGATTAGCTACTGAATATTGCTGTTATGAGGAAAGGAGTTTCGCTCTGGTGGGCATTGAAAAGTGAACTGTTCAAGGATATTGTTTATGTTCTTTGGTACATGTAGCCAGTACTGAACTTTTAATATGCAATACATCCTCTGAAAACAAGCTTCCAGAAGAAGGAATGCCAAACCTTCAAGTGCTCAGCATGAAAATGTTGCAAGTTTACTTCTGAGGCTTTAGGCCTAACAGTTCTGTACGTATTTTCATTAGTTATGCTATATTATGAGCCCTATTTCCCATGCATACTTAGAGACAAAAAGCCTTTAAAAATAAGGTACCATCCACAGGATGAGGAAAACATAGACAATTGCTTCCCCCAGTAAGAATAGTAACTATTTTTATATATAATGGGAATAATGGTTTAATTTTCAGTGGAAAGAATGGAAGCACAAAAAATCAGCCAAAGCAGCAGGTGAAGCAGTTGATGTTTTGAAGGTTTTGTGAAGGTACTCGCTTGCCCTCTTCATTTCTTTGAAGATACAGCTGGTGTTTTGGGAAGATCCCCTCTGTCTGTGGTGTGATTTAGTCAAAGTTTAATGATTAGTGAAGGCAGGTTTTGGGGTTGGGTTTTGTGGCTTTGGTGGGTTTTTTTTTGAGGACATGACTTCTAAAATGCCTTCTGGTGGGGTTTTTGGGTGTCTCATAAATTCTGACATCGTGTGTCAATATTTGTAAAGGTACCACAAAGCCTGAGAGAATTGGAGAAACCTGTATAAAGTAGACTACTTTCTGGGACCTTCTCATCCTGATGCTTTGGCTCATTTCTGTGGAGGTTTGGAAAATTTCTGCCCCATCCTACTAATTTGAAAATGTTGTTTCTCCTTAATTTTATAAGAGTTGATCGGAATCTAACTAGATACTGAACATGAAAGGGTGTTAGCTTGCTTTTGGAGTTGGAAGTTTGGTTTTGATGGTTGAGGACAACATCAGAGTTTGTATTGCAGCACCGAATGGACCAGTATTTAGTGCACTTGCAGTATGGAACCATTCGTCAAATTGTGGCCTTGGGTTAAAATCCGCTCTCTGGAACTGATCTTCGGGGTTTTCTCTATACTTTCACAGTTGTGATTATTGTGATAAGTTTAGTCCTGAAGCCAGGGCGTGAGATCTTAAACTTCTAAGGATATTCTACAGTTATTAACTACAGGACTCTTTGTGGACTAAAGAGCTCCCCAATTTTATGGTATCATTTTAATGCTGAATATTTCCTCTAAGTGCATGAGGAGCAGTCAGATTAGAACACATTCTTATCTTGAGGTTTAAGGTATTTTTAAAGTTGATTGCTCCAGTATTCCGCAGCATGGCTGTGTTTTATTCACAGACACATCCGCTTAGTGTGCTAGAAACCTCTGTGTGCTGTTTTCAGTCTTCTCTTCCTTTGCTTAAAATTCAAAGCCCCATACTAACTTAAGTTTATTATTTTTAATTCTCTTCTGTGGTCCTTTAAGAGTACAGTAAGTTAGAGTAGCCAGCTTATGAAGCGAGCCCAATGCCAATCGCAGATGCAGTTTCATTCAGTGTTGCTTTTCCTCGTACTCATTCTACCTTTCCATTGTGGTTGCTTTTATGTTTCATTTTAGACATTTAAAAACTAGATCACACTCACAGTTCAACTGGTCTAATGCTGAATCAGAGCACTTCAGACAAGAAGTTAATACAGTTTTTATAGAAGGTCTCTATAACTGTCATATACTGATCCTTTTAAGTAACCTGTATTTGGTTAGAAAATGTGGTAAAAACTTCATTTCCTTGGTGTTTTGACAGCCCCCTGAACATTTTGCAAACCACCTGCATATTTTTTTTGCCAAGTGAGGTACTTTCAGACACTACAGCTTGATTAGAAACAGTTCCTTTAGCCCATACTTACTGCTACTTTACTTCTCATTTTGTGATACTGAACAAGCTGCTCTTGAAGCAGTAGTTAGAGGTTACTCTTATATTTAACCAGAAGCACATGCAGAAGATAACCTAACGACCAGGGTTAATTTAAACCATTTCAAGTTGATGTGGCCTAAGATACATTTTTAAAGTGAATTGTACAGAGTTAACAGAATAAATTGAGTAATCCTTAAATTGCTGTACTGTACAGAAACTACTGTGAGAATCAGAAAGTGGTGCCCTACCTCTGTGTTACTTCCCTTGAGCTTCTAAAAAAATAGGTTTCCTTTTCCTAGTTTCATCAGCACAATGGTTACTTCATCACAAGAGCAACCAGGGAAGTCGTTAAACCCTACTGTGAAGCCCTGGGGCCCGTATTTAAGCCTCATCTTTGGGTTTCATTTCAATTTCTCCTGATGTAGGACTTGTTACTACTGTCTCTAAAGATTGACTCTACCACCAGTAGAAATGCTAGGCATCACAGAGAGTTGCAAGACAAGCCTTAAAGTCTTTTTGTGCAAATTCTCTTCTAAATAGATTGAAAAGGTTTGTTTCTTTTATACAAATCACTCAAGGAACTGACTTTTTCCTGATCTCTGTTTTTACTTTCACCCTTGCCATTTCTTTTCTTCAAAGCTATCTGGTTGAAGCAGCTTTAAAGTGAATTGATTGAATGTGATGTGCTACAGTAGTGACAAGTTGAGGTTTTCTCAGGGCTACTGTTGTCTTTTCAAATGGAACCACTTCTCTAGAGGAAAGTTGTGTGGCATTTCTTCTTCTCAAGTATAATGTAAGGTTCATTGTGAATGTGTAATCTTTTTAGCTCCATCAGCCATGTGAGTGCCTTTTCATTTTCTCATACAGTGCCAGTTTTGCTGGTACTGGTACTTTATCCATGGGGTTTCCTAACCAGGGTTGCTTACCAGAGAAATGGCAGGTAATTGGTGGCCCCGGACATGATCCATTCAATCCAGTGTAGCTAGACATGCCAGGAAAACACAATCAGCTTTCTGCTTCCTGTCCCTGGAGCCCTTATCTTGAGGTAATGCTTTTGCATTTCTTGGTCTCCCCCCTCCAGCTTGGTCTGTGTAAGTATTACACACAGGTTTGTTGTATCAGTTTCTCCCTAAAACTCGTGCAGGTTTTTAGTCAGGTAAATACAGATTATTTCTGACCAAAGAAGTTCAGTTTTAGATGAAGCTATTCCAAGTTGGTATGGCTGTTAAACTTCACCACTTTCACCTTTCTAGATCTACCTGAGGTAACTGCAGTTTGAACAAGAGAACTTCTACAGTGCATTTTGAATACTTAGCAAGCTGGAATTCAGCATATCCTCAGCATTCTTTATTGAAGCTAGCAGACGTTTAAGCATAAACACTTCTTCATTCTTTTTAGTAAAGCCTCGATAGATTTTACAGTTCATAGAGAAGCAGCACTGATAGACTTTCTTTGTCTTAGAGTTTGGTCAAGATTTTCAAAGGATACTTAGATGTGTGACCTGCCTTTTGAAGATCTTTCCCCTTTCTCTAGAGTTCTGCAGGCAAGCCCCTCTCGGATTCTGCCAACACCTCCATTCATGATTTGAGAGTTACAGCATGGAAAGTATATGAGACCATGCTGTCCCACTTAGTTGTAGCCTGTATATCAAGAACAAAATTTCTCTTCTGGCTTCTCATAATGCATTAAATACTCCCTCAGTAGTACTGTGAGATTCCTACTTGTATTTGCATTGTTGATAGTATACATGCAAGGTGATTATATTGCCTTTAAGGGTTGTAATACTAACTCTTTGTCTCTATCCAGTATAGGTCTTCAGGAAATACCTACTTCCAGAGAAGCTGCAATAACTTCTCATTTCTAAATGTTTCAGAGTAACAGTGCAATTTTAACATTTGGAACTAACTGAAGCGTCTTTTATCTAGAGCAAGTCTGTGCTTCTTAAAGACTACATGGTATCTTCTGCATTCAGTCATTAACTTAGGTTAATGCCTGAATTTGCGTTCAACCTATTTTGAAATGTCACTTTGCTATTCACATGCTGGATACTAGATAGCTGTAGTCCTGAGGAAACAGGCTAGCAGAGGTGCAGGTCAGTGCAGTTCTCTTGAGCTGGTCAAGGTCGGCTTTTTATCCTCAGTCCATTTGCACACACACCAAGACTAGCTCTTAGTGTTTGCCTACCAACAGAGCTGCCTACATCCTTTATTTGGATTGTGTAGGCTGAAAACCCACGTAATGTGTAAAATTGAGCAAAACTCTGTGGGTCAGATGAGAAGTCTTTGAGCAAGACCTGTAGGTCACATTGCAGAGCTGGGAACACACTTGCCACATCCAGTTCCTGGTTTGGTTGTATGAACTTTCCCATTTCCAATTAACGCACAGTGAGGGGGGCAGACTTAACACTTGTTGTAGATGAAATGGGTGATTAAGTCCTCAGACATGACCATGGGAGATTAAGAATATGCTTTAGCACAGTATAGAGGGAGAATTCCCTGCTTACATTCTTTAAGATATAGTCCAAAATACATCACCAGTATTCTGTCATCTGTGATAAGATTACTAATTCTGGAAGTCTGCAATGAATTTGATTAGTTTTTACTTCACACATAGTAAGTATTCTTAAAACCCCACTTTGTGAAAACATCTCAGAAGATACTGTAATATATTTGTAATTATTAATGTGCTAATGGAATATGTTTGAGCAGTGTAGGTTTGCATAACTGAGTGCCAAATCCTGCTCACTTTAGTTACTTGGGTAGATGATTCTTTTCAGTGGGGACTGTTCTAAACTGATGAGCAAGATTTGGCCTTGAGGTCTTGTGCCTGGGGAGCAGAGTCATGCTACTTTACATATTCCTGCTGGTGCTAAATCCTCTGTTGAAAATAAAGATTCTAAATAGAAATCGTAAATAAAATATTTATGGCCTGGTCCTTTTGACGGACTGAAATTTTATCATTTGCAAATACTTTTTTGGCCTTATTTCAAGTTTCCCTTTTGTGCTTTTATTTAGACTATGTGGACTGTGTATGTTAGTGTGGCAAGTCACTGGGAGGGTTGGCTTCCTGTGCTGCTTTATGTAATGTTCCCCTTGTGCACTGGGATACAGATGACTTTTCATTGCCAGATTCCAGTGTTACCCTTCAT